TATATTTTTCATGACTTGGCATTTCCTGTAGTGATTCCTCCATTCTAGATGAAAGTGATAGCATGTCCATTTCCTCCTTTGATGTGAACCATAACTTGCTCTCGTGAAATCAATGATGAGTTATTGCATGTCGGACCCAAAAACACAAAGTCCCGATATCTTTATGTTCATCTGCTTGTACGACATTTGGATCTTTGCCCCCAAACTGTACTTTGTGAAACGATGCTGATTTGCTAGTGGGATCCTAATTTTCTAGTACTTTTGATGTAACAAAGAACTTGCAGTGAAAGATCAAAACTCTTTTTTTATGTAAAGATTAAATAATTCTTTGATCGAATGGGTTATCTTTTTAGAGTAAAGGGTTATCTTTTTAGAGTAAAGGATCCCTTACCGTTTACTATCATACATATATTATTATCTCATTTGTATCGGATCTTTTTATTTTTTTTTTCTAAGTTGATGGTTATACATATAATTAGAGACTCACCAATTTAGTTGATTTTACGTAAGTTGCATCACACACTTGTGTGTTCATTCGAAAAATGTTAGTCTTCCCATAATCTCATCAGGTCCACTAGGGACATACAAAAAAGAAAACAGATTAATAAAAATATTAAACTCGAGATCTCATAAATAAATATTACGATAAACATTAGATAGATAATGTAAAATATAAATTTTAATTTTATGAATAATCACATGATAAACGGTTTAAAGCTAGTCAATTACGCTGAAAAATCCTTATCCATGAGTGCTCATATAACATCACTGTCGAGTCAACCTACGAACCAACCCGAAAACACTACCCTAAAAATTATTACTCCAATCACCATCTACATCAAATTAATTTATTTTCGTTTATATATTTATGCGATCCTAAAGGCTGAAGTCTCAAACCAATCAGTGATGCAATTGCTCTGATAATAACACACCATATCATTATTATTCCAAGCAACATCCAACAACAGCTGGGGATGGCAAACACCAATCCATTTATTGCAGACATTGTTCATCTCATCACTCAAAGTAGCACATACCAACTCTTGTGATTTACTGCAGTGTCCAATTATGGCTCCAAGTAGACCCCAATGGCGTCAAGAAACTGGCCGTCGCGGCCGAAGAAGCCAGAGATCTTGCCTGCTGCTATAGGAAGGGAGAAGGGAGTCCCTCCCGTGTTGCCGAAAGGTCCGTAGGATTTCTTGTTGGTGCTGAAGCCAAGCTTCCCCACCACCACCACTCCATGGTAGTTAGCAAATTCTCCCGCCATTCCCACCAGATATTCGCCCTCCTGCAGAACAATCTGCATCCAAGTAGAAGCCATTAATCTGCAGTCAGCTATGAGCTTTGAGATTGGTAGTGATGCAAACCTCGTGGGGAGTACCACCGCTGCCACCGAAGTGTCGGGTCTCCGTCTTCCCGTAGTAGGCGAAGGTGACGTCCATGGCGTCGACCACGTCTCCGGAAAAAATCTTGACGCTGATGATACGATAAGCAGGTCCCATGTCGAAGGCCGACCCTCCGTTCCCTCCCCATGCTCCCACCTTGATCGCTCCGTTCTGCATCACCATCGACGTCAACACACGACGCACAGAGGTAACCAAACTGTTCCACAGACAGAAAACTATGTGTTTACATAGAGCCTCTCACCATCGTGTTGTGTGCACCAAACTCCTCCCTTTCTTCTGCAGAAGATGATGTTGGGGAAGAGGGAGAGAGGCTACTTATAGCGGATCGCCATGGCTGTGATGTCGGGGTGGAGTGGAGGTGTACCGCCCTCGTCCGTGGCTTCCTCGTGGAAAACGTGTATCACGTGATGAGGGTCGTGTAGAGCATCTCGATGACGAAGACGTGACCGGCGACGATCACGGATGGTGGTCTGGTCAATAATTAAAGAGGAACGGATAAGGATATGGCGTGGCGGTCGACACATTGAAACGTGTTGGGAGACATGCCGGTTTATATACATCCGCCTGGCCAATGCGACGGCTACGTTAGAGAGATATGCCGGTTTTTTTTTTTCTGGTTTGATGGTGAAGATCGTAGATCTGTAGGATATGATTAAGTAATACAAAATTTTATTTTATTCTTCATAAATATATATTTAAATATTTTTATTTATTTTCTTCAATGTTGGTGCTTACATGCCAAGTCTGAATACGATTTATTTGATTTTATCTAAATCATATGTAGGATTCTTTAAGAATTTATAAAAAAATAAATTAATAAAAGTATTAAACTCAGGATTCCATAAATTGATATCTCAACAAATACTCGACGGACAATGAATAATACAATAATGAATTTTACAAGTTACAAATGATCACATAACAAAAAATCCAATGTAATATATCACCTTCGAAATTTGCATAAATATCCATATGACACTATTGCGGAGCCAAATGCTGAAGTAACCCAATACAATATCCAAAGGCACATCTAGAATATTGTCTTGTAGTGCTCAAGTTTTACACAGAGAACTACAACTTGGTGATTATCCAAAGAGATATTTATGTTTTATAATATAATATACTCATATATTATTGACTTTTAAGATTGAAATCTATCCTTTCACAAATATTACATATAAAGTTGGAGATGCTAAGTTGAAGTATATATAAGCAATGATATCTATTTTTAAGATTTTTTTATAGAAATAAAATGTATAGTCTTTTAACATAATAAACGTAAATGTATTAGTAACTTGAGGTTAAATTATGACAATAAGTATAGATATAATAATCAGAAGAGACTTTCTTATTATAATATACCTTAAATAATTCTCAAGACTTAAATAAGTTTAATTGTGTTTAAAATAAATGAAGTTGAGGACCAAACATGTGAAGGAAAATAAATCGATTTAGTTATGCATAGTTGGGATAGTAGATAATTAAGCAAAGATAAAAATGAGAGGAATATTAAAATAAATGTGAGATTAAAAGATAAAATTAGATTTTTTTTTTTTATTTTGTCAATTCATATTAGACTCATATTAAATTATATCAATCATAAAATTCTATTAAAAAAACTTAAAATAAGGTCTACTTACAGCTGTCAAATATAATTTTGTTTTGTTTGGCAAATGACATATTTCAAACTTACCCATTTTTTATTATTTATATTATTGACAGCATAATTTAATAAAAAGATAACATCATATTTCAGATATGAATAGAATTAGAATTATATTCCTAGATGGCCCAATTTCTATCAACACCAATACCCAATCACTATCTACACCAACTTAATTTGTTTTGGTCTATTTATGCCATGCAAAAGACTGAAGTCCCGACCGAGCCAATTAGTAATGCAATTGCTTTAATAAAAGCACACCACATCATTATTATTCCAAGAAACATACAAGAATGGCAATATCAAGCTTTCTTGTTGATGATGAAACCAAGCTTTCCTACGAACACCAGTCCATGGTACGTAGCAACCTCTCCCTCCATTCCCACCGCATGCTCGTCCTCCTCGAGAACAATCTGCATCCAAGTAGAAGCCATTAATCTGCATTCAGCTATGAGCTTTGAGATTGAGAGTGATACAAACCTCGTGGGAAGTACCACCGTAGTAGGTGAAAGTGACGTTCATGCAGTCGACCACGCCTCCTGCACCGATCTTGACGCTGATGATACGATAAGCAGGTCTCATGTCAAACGTCGACCCTCGGTTCCCTCCCCTTGTGCCAATAGATAAATAGAAATGATAGGGCTATCACTCAAAGTAAATTTACTCAAAAAAGAATTTATTATAATTTTAAAAAAATTATATATTTTATAACCCAACACATGAGTTTTATATAGTCATCATAAATACATTATATTCATTATATTTAACATGAATCTCTCTTTAAAAAAACTCCTTACAAGAATTAATAATCAATTTGATTTATTCAATGTATCTTACCTGTTTCATCTAACATAAGTTTTTATCAAAGTTTTTGAAATATTGAGAGATTTTATAAGTATATCAATCACTTGTTGGATTGTCGAAGTAGCTTCACTTCTTTGTTTTCGAAATGGCCACTTATAAAATAAAATCTTGTGTTGGTATGCTTCGATCTTTTATAGTAGATTGGGTTTATAAATAATATAATAGCTGATTTGTTATCAATATAAATATTGATTAACTTCTCCCATAACACATGAAGTTCTTGAAGTAATATTTTTAATCATATTATATGATAAATATAAGAAAATACTATTATATATTCTACTTTGATAGTGCAACAATAGTTTTTTTTTTAAGAGCATGTGAATGTAGTTTCACCAAAATAAAGATTAAATCCGATTACACTCTTATGATCATTGTAGTTTCCTACCCGATCATAATTAATTGTTCATTTAGTATGTCGTAAAAATTTTTAGCGATATGAGATGTCTTAGGAGCTTCTATTTAGCTACTTATTAACTAACTCTAAATAATATATCGAGTTGAGTGCATATCAAATATCTTAAACATCTAACTAGACTTTTACCATTAGTTGGATTAATTGATTTCTCTTCATCTTTCTTAGTCAACTTGGTCTTATACTTCACAGGTGTATCAATAAGTTGACAATTTTCCATTGAAATTTTTTTTAAGATCTCTTTGTTTAATTTTTCTGTGAGATTAAAATTCTTTTATTGTTTTATACAACTTCGAACCCAAGGAAATAAGTCAATTGGGCACAAATCGATAATCTCAAGCTCCTTCTTAGAGTGTTTAAGATATGTGATCATGGAAATATTATTATCTATAAAAATTAAATCATCTATATATAGATATAGAGATGTTTCCATCAAATTAAATTTGATATAGAGAGCATGTTCATATAGATATTTAAAAAAATATTTTAAATAAAATAAATATCTATTCGAGAATTTCATATAATACTATCAAACATTACCGCCAAAATTATTACTCCAATTACTATCTACAACAAATTAATTTGCTTTCGTTTATTTATTTATGCGATCCTAAAGGCTGAAGTCTCAAACCAATCAGTGATGCAATTGCTCTGATGATAACACACCATATCATTATTATTCCAAGCGACATCCAACAACAACTGGGGATGGCAAACACCGATCCATTTATTGCAGACATCGTTCATCTCATCACTCGAAGTTGCACATAGCAACTCTTGTGATTTACTGCAGTGTCCAATTATGGCTCCAAGTAGACCCCAATGGCGTCAAGAAAATCGCCGCCACGGCCGAAGAAGCCCGAGATCTTGCCTGCTGCTATAGGAAGGGAGAAGGGAGTCCCTCCCGTGTTGCCGAAAGGTCCGTAGGATTTCTTGTTGGTGCGGAAGCCAAGCTTCCCCAACACCACCACTCCATGGTAGTTACCAAATTCTCCCGTCATTCCCACCAGATACTCGCCCTCCTGCAGAACAATCTGCATCCAAGTAGAAGCCATTAATCTACAGTCATCTATGAGCTTTGAGATTGGTAGTGATGCAAACCTCGTGGGGAGTACCACCGCTGCCACCGAAGTGTCGGGTCTCCGTCTTCCCGTAGGAGGTGAAGGTGACGTCCACGGCGTCGACCACGTCTCCGGAAAAAATCTTGACGCTGATGATCCGATGAGCAGGTCCCATGTCGAAGGCCGACCCTCCGTTCCCTCCCCATGCTCCCACCTTGATCGCTCCGTTCTGCATCACCATCGACGTCAACACACAACGCACGGAGGTAACCAAACTGTTCCACAGACAGAAAACTATGTGTGTATAGAGAGCCTCTCACCATCGTGTTGTGTGCACCAAACTCCTCCCTTTCTTCTGCGGAAGATGATGTTGGGGAAGAGGGAGAGATGGAGGGAGGCTACTTATAGCGGATCGCCATGGCTCTGATCTCGGGGTGGAGTGGAGGTGTACCGCCCACCCCCTCGTCCGTGGCTTCCTCGAGGAAAGCGTGTATCACGTGATAAGGGTCTCGTGGAGCATCTCGACGATGACGAAGACGTGACCAGTGACGATCACAGCTGGTGGTTGGTCAATAATGAAAGAGGAGCGGATAAGGATATGGCGTGGCGATCCACACATGAAAACGTGTTGGGAGACAAGAGAGTTCATATATGGTATATATATACACACACTATCATATGCATATATATTTAAGTATAGTCCTATTTTATCTTTTTGATATATCATTTTATTAAGATATGTATAACATAGTGAATTAATGTAAAATTTTATTATTTTTATAAAAAAAAATAAATTCATATGATATATATTTACTACTATTATCTGTTCTTAAATATTTAGCCTTACAACTACTTTGTTTTTTAAGTAAATACTTAATTTTTTTTAATTTGTTTAGAACTTATTTCTTTTCATTTAACATGTAAACCTAAATTGTCACTATGATCATTAGCGAAGATAAGAAAATAGCTTTCTCTAATTAATACTGGACTAATAGGGTCACAAAGTATACTAGATCTAGTCAATGATATGATCTTTTTATTCTTCTTAATTTTAAAAGTTTTCTTTATTGCTTGCCTAAGTCACACACTTTATATAATTTTGATTGACAATCAATTCTTAGCAATCCTATTACTATATTATATTTCTCTAGAAGTTTTGAAGTCTTAAAATTTAAATCAACCTATCTAAGATGTCATAATATAAAATTATCGTTAATATAAGTTTTAAAATAATTTGACTGATAAAAAAATAAAAATATAGAGAAAACACTCTATTTTTTTTATTATTTTCACATGTAAAATTAATATTTTTATTCTTATTCAATTCTTATTAGGAATTGAAAGAGTCATATCTTTCATCTAAATATCATAATCTTTTTTGAATAATTATTCCAAGCTTCTAATATTATTTTTCATATTAGGAACATTATAAACATCTAAAATATATAATTCTTTGTCATTGTTAAGTTTAAGAAAAATTTTACCCTCTTACTAGTATTTGAGATAGATCACCAAATATAATATTACCGAAATAACTTATATTTAGTTCAGAAAACATTCTTTAATGTAACATATATAATTTAAAGCTCTTGTATCTAGATACTATATCATAAATCAATTTTCTTTCGAATTATTATAAGTCATTAGAAAAACATGATTTTTATTCTTCTCTTCTTTCTTAATAAAATTTACCTTATTACTTAATAACATTAAAAAAAATAGTGTTCATACTTTTCGTAAATATAATATTATATTTTATACCTTTTACAAACATAATACAAAAAGTGAATTCATCGATAGCTCACACCCTTTACTTTTCCTCCTTCCTCACCATTAGAGCATCCCAAAAGAAGATGATCAATGCACAGATAAGATCGTACATTTAGACTTCAATGTTTCACTTTAATTGTATAAATTTAATGTCACTTCCACCAACTTTATCGGTGATTAATTCTCTTTTTTTAATCTATCTAACATCAAATTTAAACTAGGACGTTGAGCACAAATCCAACGAACAACTGAGCTCCACAATATTTCCATTCTATGATAGAAATAATCTGCAACTTTGTATGTTTTTGAAATCTTCCTTTGGAAGGGACACTCCGACCAGTGCTATTCAGACTCGAGTAAATCTCCAATTGACTCTAAAGAAAATATTTTCTACTATATTTTTCATGGCTTGGCATTTCCTGTTGTGATTCCTCTATTCTAGACGAAAGCGTTTCCTCCTTTGAGGTGAACCATAACTTTTATGAAATCAATGATGAATTATTGCATGTTGGACCACAAAACCCAGAGTCCCCATATCGTTTTGTTCATCTGCTTGTACGACTTTTGGATCTTTGCCCACATCGTTTTGTTCATCAGCTTGTACGACTTTTGGATCTTTGCCCACAAATTGTACTTTTTAAAACGGTGCTGATTTGCTAATGGGTTCCTAATTTTCTTTTACTTTTTATGTAATGAACATCTAGCAATTCTACATTGAAAGATCAATACTACCTTTTATGTAAGGATTAAATAATTATTTGATCTAATGGATTCCCCTTTTAATAGTCAAGGATTCTTTTTAGAGATATATTCTCATCTCATTTATGTTGATTTATTCTTCTTTTCTAGGTTGATGGTTACGTGTGTAATTAGAGATTTACAGATTTAGTTGATTTTATCTAGATTGTGGAGTACCCTTGTATGTTCATCAAGGATTAGCCTCATCGTAATCTCCTTAAATCTTCTAAAAGCTTAAAAAAAGAAAACGGATTAGTAAAAGTACGAAACTCGAGATCTCATAAATAAATATTTATATAAAAACACTAGATAGATAATATAAAATATAAAAATTAATTTTATAGATCGTGAGTAATCGCATGACTAAAGGTCTAAGGCAAGACAATTACGCCAAAAAAATCTTCATGTATGAGTGCTCATATAACACCACTGCGAAGTCAATTGACAAACCCAAAAAATATTGCTCCAATCACTATCTACATCAAATTAATTTATTTTCGTTTATATATTTATGCGATCCTAAAGGCTGAAGTCTCAAACCAATCAGTGATGCAATTGCTCTGATAA